CCTGACACGATCGAGATCAGTATCAATTTGATGAGTTTCAAATGACCCCACAATATGACCTTGAAATGTCATGGATACATACAATAACATTCAAAATCATCCTCCACAAATTTGAATAAATCATCAAATTCTCATTAAAAAATATCAATTTACGATCTCAAGAAAATAATCCAATATAAATTGAATTCACGTGTGTGACCAAAGTGACCTTGACCACCCCATACATTTTCTGGACTGAGAGACCTGGACATGTCAATAACAAGATTACACCTTCATGTAAAAGGTACTTCATTCAGGCCAGTCGTCACATTATCCTCAACCTATAATAGCATGACATTTACAACAATAGAATACCCTGACCAATTTAACTTAACAAGTAGTGGGCGAAATGGTCAACAGTCTCGTTAAAAGATCAGGTTGACCCAACAATGCACCAGTTGAAGCAAGTAATCTCTACCTTGAACATGGTCTGAAACATCTGCCTCGATTCCAGCCTCTAAGAGATATTTTGACAGTTTCAGAGGCTGGAATAGAAGCAGATGATTCGGTTATATATTTTGTAATGTCCGTGTGCAAAATATTGATAATTATAATCTATATTTTGACTAAAAATAAGATCTTGTTTTATCATATTTACCAGAAATTTTTGGTATAATTACATTGTTATCTTGATACCATAACATGTGCAAAATATCAACCTTGATCTTATCTAACTACCTTATGCGATGCATGCGATAGTCCAAAACCTTTACATCACAGCAAGTTTCTGCAATACAATGAAATTGCTGCCATAGCCTCAAAGAAGAAAGTAGTTCGATCTTTGACCTATAACGACATCTGTTTACAACTGACCATTTCATTCATATTTCTCAACCAACTAGTGACATGTGACCTCTATTTATCAACGAAACAATAAATGAATGGGTATTAAGTCGACGACATGACGTGTGTCAGTATATGAATGGTTTGCACTGTTGTTTCCTTGCCCTATCTTATCATGAAGACTTTAGTTAAGGTGATATTTTGAACTCGTTTACGAACAGAAAGCACTGACCAGGGTAACATTCAAATAAATCAAGTATGAATAATTTGATAATTACTATCCATGGATATGAACTGAAAAAAAAAATCAGTTTTGAAAATCCCATTATAAAGAACAGATAGATGCATGCACGATAGGTATATGGAATAATTCAATCATCAGTAGCATCCAGACAATTCCTTAATTGAATACCACGAAATATGTAAACTGTGTTGAATAGAGAGGCTATTAATAAATCTTAAATTCATGATGAGTCAGGAAAATTCAGATACCATTAATATTTATAGTAGAATTAGCACAGTTTTAATAACGTTTGTTAATAACGTGAATATGGACGGCAAAAACAGGCAACCTTGTCTGACTCCATGCGTTTGGAATCTTAACATACGTTCTCACTAATGTCGATTTAATTCGCTTCCAGACGAAGCATTATTTGATATACGGAAGTAGATGTGAGTTTCGTGACGGCTGTAAGAATGAATGTTTCCCATCGACTCGGAACGGAAATGACAGAACCGACAGACAATATTTGTTTTCTTTGACTTGTCGTTATTTAGTATGTGGGTGTCAAAGGAACATGTTGAAAGTATCCAGTTTTACTTGTATTACTTACATTGATGATGAAATTGAATAACAAGGCAACAGCAGACAACATTGTCTTATCCCACCAATTATTACTGTATTACCATTGTCTTAATTCTATTCATGTGCATTAATTTCATAATGTATTCTACATAACCATTACATAATAGACCTATGACAACCCAAAGATTTGACTGGGTCAAACAAAGAAGTGAAAAGGAAATAAAGAAACGACCGGCAATATTTATTTTGTTTTCCTCGTCGTTATTTCACATGGGGTCGTCATGGTAAAAAATAGACAAAAATTGGGTGAAATTATCAAATGTTGTCCTCGCAGAATGGTTGACACACAAATATTTATTTTTCACCACTACTTGAGGTAATATTGATTCACAAAACAAAATGGCTACCTAAAGCTTTCTTTGTTTTTCTCAAGTAGGAGAGCTTGGTCACAACTTGAGCTTCCGGTTCTAACAGTTGTATTTGGAAGCCACCAATCTTGTAAACTAAACAAATGTTTTATTCTTGAGTCACAGTGACCCAATAACCACCCACCCGCTTTCTTTAATTAGACAAGAAAAATCAAGATGTTTGGCTAAACTTTTGCTTTTCGTTTAACTTTCAAGTCGTGGGAAAACTTCATTCAGAGCAATTATTGACTTTGAAAGAAAGAAAAAAAATTTGATCCATTAGAGAACTATTTAATTCATGAATAAACGTGAAATAGATTTTATCAGAGCGTGAATTAATTGATGAACAAAGCCATAGTTTATTTGATGGTACAAATGCATTTATTTTGAACACCAATTAAATGTAACACCCTACTTTTTACGAGCGGTTTTAGGTACATTGGCTTTGAACTTTCTCGGTGTTTTCAATTTTCCAATTTATTTATTTTGAAACGGGTGGGGATCAGTTTATGCCATAAAATGATAAAAAAGTCTAAGGTCGTTTTCAAAAAATTTAATTTCGCACTAAAAATATACATGTTTAATATATACCAACTAAAGTATATAATCATATGTATCATACATTGTCAATATTTTAAATAGTTTAATTATTACCTAGCGTACATTGCACCATGTCGAACTGAATAGAAAATTACAACTTGCATTCGGTTTCAATATTTTCAACATTAACATATTTGCCATTTACATTTTTGGCATAGATTCACCTTTATTCCCCGGAGTACATCTTTTTTGAATAATTATCTCAAATTGAACCTCTCGTCATTTCAAGTTGTTTTTACGAAAAGCTTGCCAAATAAACCGTGGATATTAAACGAGTAGAGAGTTCCCAGGCCTCGTTTTATAGAATTCAAATACAGCATATGTTTTTCATTACATTTATCATGACATGGTTATTTTATATAGTTTATAATAGGTCTGATAACATCAATTACAGCAGAACTGTTTCTAATCATAGAATAATATTCAGTTTTATGTCATCTTATTTTTCACCTTCTGTATCCCTATAAGATACACATCATTCTAGACGAAACCTGATAATTGTGATACTAAATCATTTTCAATTTTTCATATTTCTTCATTATTCACTACAGATCTACAGGATTCAGTATTATGTCTAGTGATTTTCATCAATATACTTAATAGGGAAATTAAAATCGTACGTGTGATGCAGGCCTTAACTCTTCCATAAGCGATTTTTTGTATGGAATGGTCAAAAGGTAAGAATGTGTATGCAGGCTACTTTTTATGCTTTAATGTCACAGGTATATATAAATACAGTTTAGTCAGCAGAAGGCAATGTTGAAAACAGTATCACAAAGTGCAGTCATATCCTAATTCGGAATCGAACGAATCAAAAGTGTTGGTGATAATGTCATTATTACCTCTGATGGTAACCACATCAATTCATGGTACTTATGGTGTCTGGGTGTGTTATGAAATATATTTGATGTAACACTTGTAAATGTTATAACTTGCTCGGCCCTGTTAAAACAGTGTCAGTTACAGGTTATGTTCACTCATCACTTTATTATTAACATAACCCATATAGGCCTGTACTGTTTATTTTGACGACTATAAAAATGATAAACTGGTTTTCAAATTGAAACAAGTATTTTTCTTTTCTGGAATAAGCTTTTTAAAATAATGGGAAGGACACTTGATCACCCGATTTCTTCAACAACCATCATACCCCTCAAACTCCAACTATGCCGTTTTGCAAATTAGGGTTGGTTTGATTCCTCTCCCAGATAAATGTTGATATCAATTGGGGACCTACGTCTGCATTTCACAGAACACATTTTTGGAACACGTAACGCTACTAATATAAATACTTCTGACGGAAATGAAATTGCTCGCTCAAGTTTGTAAAAATTACAGTCGGCTTCATCAACCAAGAATATGCTTAAATAAATGTATAGCCCTGTACAACTAAGCAAGATTCTCGAAAGATAAACAAAAAACATTTTTATCGCATGAAACTTAGAACGGAAATACAGTTCATAATTTTAATAAATGTAATGTTTTGTCACGAGGGTGTCGTCTAACATATAATAACCGTCGCTTGAGTAACTTTCAAAAATCTTTGCATTGTCATATCCGTTAGGTCGAGCCACTGTGAGCATTCAACTGGTAAATTACATCAGTCAGATTAAACAAATAAACATTTTAACATGCAATCTATCAATCTAGTGCTCATTTATGGATTTGGGAAGAAATGTCATGAAGAACAACCTGATAACCCGAGCTTAAATGGCCAACCTGAGCTTAATACACCAGAAGTGCCGGCTTCATAATTTTACAACAATTTGCAACTGTACACCGGGTCAACGAAATTTTAAAGAGATTTATGCACAACATGAAATAAAAGCTCACCGGTGGCTTGCATCACTCCCATTTCCGTTATGATATTGTATGAATAGGTGTATTGTTATCTAAATGGAAATCCCCTAAACCAATCGACCGTTAAATCATTTTCCCTCCCAAAATAAACGATCTCTCAACATTTAAATATATGCATCTTATGAGAGAAAATCTATTACATTAACAAGCACTTAACCTATTTGCTATAGTATGCTTGAGAATAATGTGGAGTATATGTGGGTGAAACACAAAACATTCCTTCTCTCCGCTCATAGGAAGAAGTTGTTTTATCATGTTTGATGTCAATTGGTGTGAAATGATGTAAAAACATTTTTGCTAACATAGGCGAAACACAAAACAGCACTTCTATCTGTTCATAAATGGAATCTATATTTACCATTTGACGAATATTTTTGACAAATGATACAAAAAGTCAGTGGTGATTCTTGATGTATTTCAGATGACAAATCTGAAAGCTAATGATGGTTCTCTGCTGGAATAATGAATAAGGTGTGAACATGTCTAAGGTCAAATAAGTTACTTACCTGGATCATAAACTATATCTTTTTCCACGATAGGTCTCTTGTACTTGATGTAGCAAACAGCAAAAACAAAAAATGCCAAAAATACTGACACAACACATAAAACTCCAATTAACCCCATAGCTAGGGTTCTCCACTGTTCTTCACTAGAACTAACTGAAGTAAAGTCTAAGATTCTGTTGTTACTAGTAGGAGAGGCGTGAGTGGTACTGCTGATGCTACTGTCGTGATGATGCTTCTTATGATGTTGGTGTGTCTTGTTCTTTTTAACATGAACTTGTTCATCTTCTGAGGACTGCATGAATTCAAATTCCTTAAAAGGGCCACACTGAGTATCTTTGTGAGAACTGCAAGGTTTTCTGATAATTTCATTGACGTTGCATGTCGAGCACTTTTGACATAAGTCTTCTTTAGTAACATAAAATTCGCCTTCTCTGCACTTTATGAGACCACTCTCGGTATGTTCTAGCGCACATGATACAATCAATAACAGGCTTAATATCAATAACCTTTGAACTTCCATTGTAGATAATTCACCTGGAAAAGACAAGTACAATGATGGTATTAATATGACGCAAATTTTCACTTTGGTTTGATTCTCTGATAAAACAACCAAATAGTAAAATGTAGTAATTCAAAGATCAATATTTGTTTAAATGTAACATTGTCGACATTAAGTTAAATGTAATATTAAGCTCATTGTAATGATAAGTGAAATACCAAAGTCAAGTGTAACATAAAGTCGAAATGTAAAAACAAAGTACTAACTAAAAATATATAATTATCCATAATCATATCCATAAGATATTAACATAATATGTAACATGTTCAAATATTAATATAATCATACCATAGCAATGTAACATCAAGTATATCTAAATGCACCAAATGTCATGCGTAACATAAGATATTAATGCTATATATTGATATAGCATAGCAATGCAACATTTAATCCCAGCAAATGTTCATGTAACATCAGTTTAATATAAATGTAACACAGTGCATCAAAAGTTATATTAAGATGAGAATGGGTTTTTCCAAACTGAGAAAAATTTCCGAAACTTGAGGCCAGTCCAAAAACAAATTAAGGATTTGTATGTAGAATCTATTTAACTATTATGTATTTTGACCGTCTGAAAGATCTCAGTGTTATCATTATCTTTCTTTTATTTGCCCTCTTCAGCTATAAATAGCTATGGTGCAATGAAGGAAAGTTATCATTTGGGATAGGCTTGTTAAAATTCTTTCGTTCTCCGTTACACATTGAATTCATTAAGGTCTTGCCTATATTTCCTTCATTACAAAAAATCATAATGAGCATCTAATGCATCTGTTATTTCCTTATATAAATCTCTGAGAAGAAAATTTACTTTGACTTTCCTTAGTTATGAGGAAAGAAATTCTTCCTACGCAAATGTTAAATGAAAATCTACCCATGTGGAAATTCCCGATATGCCACATGTCTGCAGATTGGCTTAATATTATGCAGTATATAGTCAAGCCTAATTAGGTGGTAGTGGGCGTAGGTAGAAAGCATTGTCAGTGCCATCAGAAAATGTCCTTGCCTTAAAAGACCACGAATACGTCCGGGGTTACCTGAACTATATCTTTGTGTTAAGAGTGAAGAAGTCTTTGAGAAAGACGACAAAAAATTTTTTGTAAAATTTGGAAATTTTTTATTATAGTATTTTATAACTATAGCTGTTTAATTACATCGTATAATGTCTCATAAAGACAAACCTATCAATCGAATCTAAGCTACGTGGTATCTTCATAAAAATAAATCCAGAAATTATTTTGAAGCAGGCGAGTGCTATGCTTACCTTATTACCTAGATAGATAATCCAACAATAATTCCAAGATTTCAGAACACGAGGTTATAATTCCTCACAAGTCACAAGTAGAAGCCAGTTTGGATGAATGTAGCAAGTTTCAACATGTTTTACTACGTATACCGTTAACCACGCCCATTTTATCATATCGACCAATCAGAAACGAGAGGGCAGGGTTATTAACGTAAACAAAAACTGGCCATGGTCTACTAGTCTCATTCATGAAGTCTATCGTGTACCGACGGGTTGTATTTACTCTACGATACAGTCAGGTATTGAAGCTATTAGGCGTGAAAGAAAATACTGTGAATGTGAGACGTGAGCAATGGTTTTCACATGTTTGTATTAGCCCGAGGCTGCTTGAATAACCTTGTATAAATCTGAAAGATTCATGTCATTTATGATGTCTCTGATTATAGCTACACTCTTATTATGCCATTAAATAGCTGATTGTCCATTATGATGGCGTCAGGGACATCGCTTTATGTTCTTCTACAAACTTTGAGGTTACTTACATGTCCTTATTTCGCTAATGAGTAATCATATAGCAACTCAATAGCCTACTAGAAAACATTAACAACATGCTTAGTTATAGGCTACCCATTCCAATTTTCATCTTTTACTATCGACTGATCTTGTTTGAGCGCAGTATACTATAGCTCAAAGGATCATTATCTAAAGCCAAAAAATTATAACGCTCTTCAAATCTGAAAAGGCAAAAATGAAGGACCAGAGAAGGGCAAACTGCAGAGGTACCGATGGCACGTTTCAGACCATCATATCACCAACCAGTTTAAATCCACAAGTTCTCTTGCAGCAGTTTTCATTTTTAAATTGCATATACTTTATAGCCTATCCTACCTTGGTTAATTGTTTGACTTAAACTAATTCAAAAAAGTTCTTCCATTTTCGATACATAATCAATACCAATCTCCATTTTCGTACGTATTCTATTTGTAAACAGGGGAATTCCAAAAAGTCGTCAGTGGTTTTATTTATAGATCAGTCATCATCTGATGCAATGGCTTCCTGTGTTCTCTTTTATCCAGACTGAAATTAAGACATTGTCTTCGAAATTTTTTACTGAATGCCTGTGGAACTACTAACATTCCATAAGGTGTTTTGAGCAAACTAATGCAACAATCACTTTTGAAAAATCCGTTATTACCGACAAATTTTTACCGTAACGCCGTCAGATACTTTTGATACCACGATTCAAAATAAAAAGTCAATTTGATATTGCCATAACGAACCTTATCTATTGCAGTTGCGTAGTGCCATCGGGTGCTTCTTGGAAACACATCAGTAGGATTCACCGAATGGGGTAAGGCACGGTAGTGAGTCTCTTTCAATCATTTTGATAATTTTTAAACGAATTTGACAGATCTCATTAATATGATAACTTATCATAAACACAGAACCGAATCTTTATTCCAGTTCTTAGATTCCTGATAATAATTACAAGGCTTACAGAAAAACTCGTTATTTTTATCAATTATATTGTCGTAAAAAAGATAACGACTGTCGTAAACTGTCTTACGTCTGATAATACCCTTTTATGTCACGTGTATGCTAAGTTTTTCTTCCATTTTCAAAAGAAACTTAGTTATATCTAATGCAAGCTGATAACAGCCGATTTCTTGTTTGCGGCATATCGCCTTTCATTTTGTTCTTATCTCTTCTAAATGTAGCCAGTGTTCAGTGCACTGTGGTATTCAAGGCTGAAAAAGAAACAAACCTTTAGAGAGTTTTTTTTGTAATAAACTCACGATATATCATTGTCTTAAATGTTCGTAGAGCTCGTAGTAGGCCTATGATCAAAAGCATCTTCACAAGAACTCCGTCTCGTACCTTGACTTCATAAGACACGCATAAGTACAATACGGAGTTCATGATTGACATTGTGAAGATGGGTCATAAGAGTCACAATTCAGCTTTTTAATCTAACACGTTTCAAAATTATAATCCAATAATTCTTCACCGGAAGTGCCAGTTTTCAAATCATTTCTATATTTCTCAACCAATATTAAAGACATATCTCAACAATTTAAATGGCGTATGTTCAACGACTGCCTTCCACTAACAATCAATTGGATTTTTGCATTTCAACATGGTGGATCAGATTGATGTTTCTCTGATTGTTCATTTCTTGTCATCCAGTACATAGTGACTTTAATGAGTAAGATGCATTGATGACGCACACAATCCTGGTTGCCCACAGCATGCATAAGTTTTTGTACCGTGTTATGATAAATTCTTTAAACAATTATTACATGTATGATATTTCAAAAGGTGTACCAAGATAACCTTGTAAATTTCGTTATCGACTTATTGCAGAAAGATATTTAGTTTCCTTATTTTCTCATTGATGTTGTTAGACACAGTGCATTTAAATCACAGACCACGTATACAGTGCGCTTGTACAGATCAACATAACCTTCGATGTAATCTGATTGCAACAAATGTTATATAGACTTTATAATTGATCAGGCTTCTGAATAACTTTAACAAAATCGTAAGCCCTCTGAACAGAGCTTATGATTGATTGAATATTTGAACACCTTTCCCTTGACAATGTTCTTAGATCTGTAATAAGTGGAGTAAGACATGCTTGTAGACTAAAACGAAATCTCGAGATGCTCTTCAGAATCTTAACCTCAACCATTTTACACTTCCGTGAAAAGAAACAAACCGGAAGTACTCTGTTTCTGAGATATCTATCTGTCTTTCCCAAAAAAGAACCGATTATTTACCGAGGTGTCTGGTTCAGTACAATTTTCAGATAACCAATCATAAAGTAATATGAACTAAGGATCATGTATTGGGTGATATACAATCCAGTTAGATCCTCAACTTTTAGCAGGGTACAAAAGCGAGAATTGGGACTCGTCTTATAGTATCATATCAGTGATAGTTCGTGACTTCTGAAAGCTCTCTGTTGTAAGCTTTCAACTTAGATGTTGACTTTCAATGAAAATTGAAAAGACTCGAAATTGAACACTTGAAAAAAGTAAGAATAGTCCCAATATATTAACACGTTTTGAAGAGATTTTGATGTAAGTGGTTCGTTTGACAAAAAATCTTCGTTTGGTAAAAACTTACATCTATTTATTTGATTATAAAATGAATTTTAATGGATTTTTCAATTTGGTAAAAGGAAAGCGCGTATAGCCCCAGTCACCGACATGGAACCCTTTCAAAGCGCAATTTAGAATGTTTGATAAGCGTGCTATTATTTAAACGCCCCTAATTTTAAATCTTTGTTGTTTTTTTAGGATAGCTTTCAATTGATTTCTCATTTACATTTAGTGCTCTGTACCCATTGACTTAGCCCCGTCACACTGGATTGTGACCATTTCCGATCTTATGGCAACAAAATATGTACTTGAAGAAAACGTGAGAATAGATCCCTTTTACAACAATGGCTACCAACCTGCGACATAGGAGACACTTTTTGCGTTACGGTGCGTTTCTAATTAAGTCTAGTTGCCAAGTGCACTTTTTCTTATTGCGTTAATGAAGATGTTACGTTGCATGTTTGATTCTTGGTTCCGTTTCGATCTCATCGGCTTTTAACACGCTTACGGCAAGCTAATTTTGTCGCTGCAGCAGCAGTGAGGACGCCATTCCGTGTGACGGAGCTAGGGGCTCAGGTCGATCTGAGAGTCTGAGAATCTGAGAGAGACTTGCT